CAGACCCCCCCCGTGACCAAAGGGGCTTACTGCTAAATTAATCCGCCCTCCTGAACGGCAACCAGAGTTTTCTTGGCAGATGGCCCCTCCCGCGCCCCTCAATGTTCTAGATTTCTTTATAATACAGAAAGTGGTGAATGCTGCTTACCTATTTCTTCCTCAAGGAAGGTGTTGGGACAAGAAGGGGTAGTTAAAAGGGGTTAAGACAAAAGAAAAGAAACAAGAGAGAACAAATAAGAGAGGGAAATGAAAGAGGAAGAACCTCAGTTGGCTTGCATACGACCTTACGTAACCACCATCCTAAAACATGTTCTCATAATTATTATCTGTATGCCCAGGTGAGCCATCATTGGTCACCCAATTGTCCTGACCATCTGGATCATGAGGCTGTGAGGCCTGGTTGTGTGTGTGTGGGGGTGGGAATGCTGGGCACAGCGCTCGCCTCCCACCCTCCCATCTTGCCTTCTCATCTCTGTTATCCAGCATATTGTTATTTAGATCCCTGGCCAAGGAGAAACTGGAGTAGCGACAGAGCAAAGCTGGAGTTACACCTGGCACCTTTGCTCACAGGCAGGACCCCTCTCGATCTTTTTTAAAAAGGAAGTGTTGGACGCCACACTGGAGTCGCGCTGGAGTCACCTTTTGGAAATCCAGAGCAGCGAAGCTCAGGAGACATCCAATGTAAGATGCTCAGCCGATTGACTGTTGTTCAGCTGCCCACGTTGAGAGGCAGAAACTACATTTCTAGGAAACGGGGGATCTGTGGAATATGATCTGGAATCTGCAGGCTGTTCCTTGGACAACAGCCATCCACCCCTTTGGCTGGAAGATTATGGGAGGTTGCCCCTCGCCGAGAAGGAACTCCACAGCTGACCCTAACAGGAGTCTCGAAACTTCCCTCTGCCCATGGTTGCCTGCTCTCCACGGTTGACCTGGCTGAGCCTCAAATCTCTGCCAGGCAGGTGGGATCTCTTCTCTCTTGTAAAGAGACCTGGGTTTCAGTTTAGCGGGCTCTACAGTTCCTACAAGCCAGCCCTGTTTGCCCTGTGATCTACAGAGCTGGGGAGGCCGTTAATAACAAGGAGGGAGCTTTGAAGCAAAGGAGTTGTAATTTTCCCGTCCCTCCAAGGCAGGAGGAAGACAACAGCCCGCAATATTATTTAGTGCCGGGAGTAAAACCAAAGCCACCACAGAATCCGATAAATCTTTGGAACAATACCGGGGGAATTTTCCTACAGATGGGAGACATGGTAAGTAAAATAGATGGCTGCACGGCTGAGCGAATACGCATTTCTTATCAGCTTGGAACAATCTGCACGTCAATTCCAGGGCAGCTCTTTTCAAGGGGGTGGAGGGCAACAGCCCGTTCAGGGATCCATTGCTCAAGACTGGAGGGCACTAAAGAAACCTTGGTTCAAGTCCCCTCCGCAATCCTGGAGCTTCCTGGACGACCTGAGCCAGTTCCTCTCTCTCTCGACATATCCCACCTCGCAGGGCTGATCTTGCAGGGACCATATCAGGGGAGACCTGTCCACCACCACGCCATGCACCCTCGGCACGCTCGGAAGAGAAACATCTCCCACTCTGCCAAGCTACCTGGACAGGAACGCCTGGTGCTGCTTCAGGGTGTCCAGCTCGAAGGTGGACGAGTCGCTCCTCTTCCGCAGCAGCTGCTGCTTCTTGGCGTCTTCCTCGTTGCTGCGCGGGAGGTCGGCCGTGCTCCGGCTGAGGTGCCGGGTGGCTTCCAGGCCGCAGCCTTCCGAGCAATAGCTGTTGTTCACGAGGATGCCGGGAGACAAGAGATCCGTGTCCTGGAATTTGAAGGGCACAAGGGCCAGGCCGTCAGACTCCTGAGAAAGGGCAGGAGGGCGTCGACGCTCTGTTGGAGAAAGAAGGAGATCCGCGCACGGCCTGACCGCAAGCTCGAAGGGCGGTGGCTGCTGGACCTGCCGAAGGTCAGTGGCTGACCCCTCGCTCGCCGGGTTGCGCTTAGCAGTCCGACTCTTCCCGGGGACATGGTGGTTCTTACCACCAGCCCAGAGGGGAGTAATTGAGGTTCAGAGGTAGCCGGCGTTAACCGAGCACGTGCCATCCTCATGGAAGGTACTAGCTAAAGGAGGAAACAGGTTTATGCAACCAAATGAGGGCCTTGCAGAGGAGAAGTGTGGGAATTACGCAGGGATGGATTTATCGCCACATTGTACAAACGTGATCTCAGTCTCTGCGTCTACATTGGTGCCTGCCCTGTTCTGAGCTGAAGGCCTCCCTCCCCAAAGTGCCAGGGCCTCGAGGAAGAAGCAAGTGGGGCCAGGGCCAAAGCTAACCCCAAGATAAATAGAAGGAAAAGCCGTTAACGCCATCACTTACCATGCACTCCATCATTTTTCCATCTGTGCACTGAACGCCACGGTTCAGTGGCAATCTTTGTGGTGGCCCTGGGGGCCCCGACTGGGGTTTTGAGGGTCATGGATTCTGCACCAACCTGGTTTAAGTCATGATTTCCTTTCTTTTCTGTCCAGAACAAGCTTGAGAGTTTGTCTTGTTTACCTGCACGCTGATGACGCTCCCGCGCCGGCTACTGTTTTGACTCTCCGGCATGGTCTGGTTGCTGTAACAAAGGGCGTCAAAGGCCAGGATTCCTCCCACGCAGTCCCCAATCAGGCACACCTGAGGAAGAGAGAACAAAACCCATGCCTGGTTCCTTTCATGAGACACCAACCCTTCAGGTTCCCCATCAAAAGCAGAGAATGGAAGGCTATAGGATGAGAGGTGACGGGGATTCTCTAGAAAGCCACGTCTGAGGAAGATCCACCTTGAAAAGCACAAATTTCGATTAAGGAAAATGGGCCTGGTGCTGTTGACTAATGCCACCTTCATCCATGGCCACATGGAAGGCCCGCTGGCTAAGCCTGAAAGGAGAAGGAACTTGGTTTCTAACGATTCCCCTCAGATTGTGTCGGATGCAGAAAAAGCAACTGGTATGGCTTTAGCTTCTAAAGTTCTAGGCCGCTGCAGCCTAGAGGTCTACCTTTACCCAAGTCACCATTAAAGTTCTCTCTCCTCCAAAAGAGTATGTGGCACCTAGAACATTCTCTTGGGAAGTTCATGCTGGGGGTGAGAGGAGTCAGCCCCAAACTGGAACAACTAAAGTCAAGAGTGTGTAGATGCATCTGTTTTCTCTCTTTCTGAATCCCATTTCATCCTGACCAGTGGAGTTACCACAGCATGAGTCAAAACTCCTGTCAGAGGTGCGAACACGTTGCTTTCCAGGACTTCCAAGGAGATGAGGCCAAGGGCTACACTGAAGGACCACATCTTGCCTACTTCTGGTGTAAGGAAAGGAGCCACAGGCAGAACAAGCTGGTGTTCCTCAGATGGGAGTCCCGCAAAGCTCAGGAAAGCCAGCGTCACAAGAAATCAGAGCAAGTTTGGCGATTGCTGTTCCAAGGGTGTGTCTGCGCGCGATGTGGACAAAGACTTCTTTAACAGCAATCCAAATACGTGCAGATTCAATCTGCAGATTGACTCGTTTCAATAACCAGGAGTTATTTAATAAGGCAATGGACTTAGTATTGATTTTTTTGCCTTAAGTCAACCCTCATTAAGTGATCTGTTTTGATGAACTTCCTCCAGCCGTGGAAGAGGATGGCGAGCTTGTCTCTGATGACGGAGGCCGCCAGCTACTCACCTGGCCACTGAAAGATGCGCCTTCTTGGGATTTGATAAAGTCACCGTACACTTGATTGGCTCTCAGGATCACCGTGGCAACTGCCTCTTGGTACTGTGGGGAGGATGTTGCCAGGAGAGGAAGCGCAGCGAGTGGGATGTGATCCTGACTATTGGAAAGGCAGCCTTCATCGTAACTGTACGGGCTGAGGCTAAAGAGAAGAGGAGGAGCAGGAGTCAAAGTTGTTTCCTTTCTGGGCAGCTATATTAAATCTAAATAATAATAATGACGACAACAAGAAGAAGATCTGGTTAATGCCAGCAGGCCTGGGGATGCCAGGGGATGGGTGAGTTAGTGAGGTGGCTCCGTTATTTTTAACATCCCTTCGTCTGCTATTTTTCTTTGTTTCAGTTGGCTTTTATATCTTTTAATGCATTGATTGATTGTTTTAGTCTTGTTGCATGCCGCCCAGAGTCGCTTGCTGGTGAGACGGGCGGTGATATAAATGGTATAAATAAAATAGGAATAGATAGATAATAAATGACAACTGCCCTGGTTTTAACTGTAATGCCCAGCTGTCGCCAGCGCTTAATCCAACTGGATTAAAAGAGATGCAGTGAAATGTCCGGGTTACGCTCTGCTAAGGAGAGCAAGAATGGCCAACTTTTGATTCTGGGCGCCCAAAGATACTGATAGAGGTCCAAAAGATGACTGGAAGTGTGTGAAGCTGCTCTCTCAGAAGAGAGATTGTCTAGCTTCATGGCAGAACAGCAATTTGCCAGTGTTACAAGGTTTGAGCCATTCATCTGGGTCTACTCTAGGTGTCTCGGCCTCTGTGGATCTCAATGCCACCACATTGAAAAACAAAGCAGGAAAAAAAAGCTTGTGTTTTTTCCTAAACTTTTCTAGGCGTTATTACCATTTGCTGAAATTAAAAGTTTCCTCCTGTTTTCCTCTTGAGAACAACATCGCTGCCCAGCATCTTCGGTGCCGGCTGGTATAAAAATGCTTGCAGATAAATCAGTCTCTGAGCCAGCATATCCAACCGACAAAATTTTCATTAGCTAAGGGTAATCTTCCAATACTCTCTTAGAAACACAGACTTCTGTGGGTGCCCTGTTGCTTTTGCTATGACTCAGGCCTGCACAGCTACCTTCCCCAGCCGCCACACTCCAGGAAGAAAATCAGTGGCCTTTCAAACAATTGAAGTCTATACGTGGTCGGCAGAAGGGTAGAAGATGCGCCACATAAATAATAAATGAGTAAAGAAAGAAATTGGCTCTGAGTGATGATTGCTATAGGCTGTACTCAGCCTGGATGAGTCATCACACATGAAATCGATAGGATACATATCTAGTCAAACAGAGGAAGGAAGGAAGGAAGGAAGGAAGGAAGGAAGG